TATAAAATTGTATATTTTAATATAATTTTTAATTTATATAACCAATTAACCTCTGGCATAGTACCAAGGCAATTACAGTGTCTGCATAAATTATGCGCACAGCAAGCAGACAATATTACATGCATGCAAATTCCCGAGCATACACACCCACACACGCACGCTCAGGGAGCACAATATCCAAAAAGAGTTTTTTTGCAATTTGCATAAATCAAACAAAGTTCAGATTTAAAATTTACAAATAACAACAAAAACTAAACTTTAATAAAAATGATTTTCTATGAGATTTAGCTGGATGAGGACAGGAAATGGATTCAACGTAAATTCCAAATTAAAGCTAGCTTACGTCAATCCCTTGATTGACAAGATCATTGGATTCGCATCAAAGATTATTTCCACGCCATGCATAAGTCATGGTCTTATTGGAATCAAGGCATATTTAAGTTCGGACCAACGCGCGCCCAACAACGAAAACTTTTCCCAGCAAGTTGAGCTTAATTTTCGGGCTGGAATGAGAGGCCTTTCAAGAATATTGAGTTGCTGATGAATTTATAATGAGTGAACGCCTGTGGGTGTGTGCACTTTGATCAGGACCGCTGATGAGTCTCTGTGGACAAGTCCTAGTGCTACCCACACACTTCTGATTAGTATATATTTGCTGCTTGCGTAATTTGAATATTGATAGTGTCAGAGCGGACGTTGTTTAACAGCTGAAAACACTTTCTGTTATCCTTGAATGCACAAAGCTGTAAAATAACTATTTTTAACGAACACCGGCCTAGACCTGCTCAATGCTATTCCACGGCCAATAAAGCGCTTGCATTATTAAAAGCCTGAAATGATCCTTGAACTTTGTGCAAGGCGCAACCCCAAGAAAATCAATTGCATCAAGAGCAACTTTGGGTAAGTTTTCGAGAAATATGCTCTAATCAAATATGTGTTTGGCTGGGGAAGGGCTAGCAGCTAGCAGCTAGCGGGATGTCAGGATGTCAGTTGTGCACAGCATAAAACCTAATTACGGAATTTGCCTTAATTAGTACGCCCGACTTAATTACAAAACGGCAAAAACTGCACAGTCAACAAAGGCCACAACAGCAACATAGCTGTGTATGTGTGTGCCTGCGAGTGTGTGTGCGTGTCTGCGTGTGTGTGCGTGTCAACAGCTTGTCATATTTAACATGTACAACGCCCGAGCGTGTGCTTTGCTTTTGTTTATTCACATAGAACCCTAACCACTTAGTGTCAGCTTGAAAATTTGGGTAACTATCCGAACAAACATTACTTCAGAGCTTAACGAGAAAATTTAAGTGTTAAAGGCGGACCCGAAAATGATGTACGAATATATGTTAATACACCCTGTAGAGTGAACCCCAATTAAATTGGATCAGCTGTAGCAACAGTACAAAAGTCTTTAATAAATTCTTAAAGTCTCGAAGGTTTCTGATTATGGCCCAATATCATATTTTTACTGATTGACACAAAAATCTTGAATATCTAAAATCAATGCCCTTACAAAATGCAGATGAGTTGAGCTATTTGAATAAATATATTCACAAATCACCCAAATCGGCAAAAAAGAAACCAGCAAAAAATTTCAATATAAATGAAAATTATTCTGCTGTCCAATGGGGGAAAGAACACCTACAAAAAGCGCCACATACTACCTCCCCCGCCCCCACCCACTTGGACTCGACGCAAAGGTCATGAGCCGACAACAAAGTTTGGCTAACATTCGAAAAAGGAAAAGCTGCGTCCTGTTTGTATGTCTGTCTGTCTGTCTCCCGCATAATTCGCAATGTCCGCTCGTATAGCTCGGTGGGCGTGTCCAGTGCGTGCCTTTTAGCCCATTTGCCTTCTTATCTGTGGATACCTTTAAAAGACTTACAGGAAGTCTCTTTAAAGCTATCCTACTCACAGCTTATGAACTTTCCATGGTCAGAGACAATTGAAAATGGGTGAAAAGAAAATTTATGCATAAGGCAGATGTCATAGAGTATGTTTCCATATTACATTTGGTGACAATATGCATTTCTCATATTTATATTGCACATATCTATATGTCTCATATGTAATATAAGAAAGGACACGTCCTTCTACCTTTCATATGCATTTCACCCAATTTAAATTGTGTTCAAATATACGTATTCATACATATACATATGTATCGTATTATATATTATATGTATATTATATAGTCTCACGCTGCCTGCCAATTTAATACAATAAAGATCTCTGACCACTATTCAAGAATGAAACCTGTAAACAATTCCCTTTTGTTTTTCTACGCTTCCTGCTTTGATAAATTATGCAGCCAGCTCAAATCTCTTAAGTATATTAATAAAGTCGTGTGCCAAAAGAATACATTACTCAGCAATCCATTGTAGTTCATCTCAATATACCCTGCAGGGTGAGTAAATATTTTTATAGTAGCAGTAGTAACCTGTAAAATGAATAAATTCGATATTAGCACATTACAGAAAATCATATATAGAAAGCACAGGGATAGCATAATGCTATCACAATGTACCCTAAAGGCCTATATCATCATGTCGAGAATATACCATAAAGACACTAAGCTGAAACTACGCAAATGCTGCGTGATATACGCAAAAATATATTCATCATACGCCTCGTCGTCCGCACTGGCAGAGGCCTAAAACTTTTGCACGTTCGCTCGCCTCTCGGCATACGAAATGAACCGCACGCACAAATCGTTGGCACATTCAATTAAGTTTTAATAGACACATTTTGAAGGCAAAAGGGACAATATGAAATAATAAAATCATATTGAATTTTATGAGCAGGGAGAAAAGGTTTTCGGTTAGTTAGCCAAAAGTAAAAGTCATTAAACGTGAAAGTATTTTATGAATGCGTAAATTGCAATAGACACTGTAGTTGTTGTTGGTGTTTACGCCCATGTCAGCAAGCCATTATGTAATGGAAGGAGAAAAACAAAAATAAAATTATACCTGAAACACTGTAAATTGTATTCAGTTTGCTAGCGCTCAGCTGCCATTTGCAACAGCTGCAGTTAAAAGCATCGACCTACAGACAAAATGCCACAGCCATGCATTCATCTGGCTACCAATGAAGACCTTGCTTGTTGCTTCTATTTACTACAACTAGCAGAGGGTATATCAGTTTTAAAGCAAACATAAACATAATCTAAAGTAATAATTTTAAATATATAACTGAGCATATATTTTGTTTGTTTGCCTTTATACCGTATATCTATATATCTCACAGGCTGCCTTTATTCTGTCGGCCTGCCAAAACCAAGAAGAAGAGCTAGAGAAGATCATTCAAGTTCTCTTCACATGTATGTATGCAGCAGAATTCATTAGGTAAAACGAAGCTAGAATGCTTGCAGCAGCAGAGAGATTGCCCATTGGTCTGGCGTCGGTGTCAACATTTGAGCGCGACTTCGGCTTTGAGTGAAAGGCGCCCTATATAAAGGGCAGCAGCTGCAGCATTTCTTCAGTCGCCCAGGCCGGGTGGGGATCCGTTGTACAGCGCAATAAAGTAAAGCGGAGTGTGTGATCGTTCAGCTAAGCATTAAAGACTTGGAGCAAATACTTAAAGTAAACACTTACAAGAAATTCTTAGAGAAAACACTTAAAAGAACTCTTAAACGAGACACTTAGAAAAAAATACTTAGAAGAAATTCTTACCTATAGGAAATACCTAGAAGAAATACTGAGAGGAAATACTTGGAAGAAAATTCTGATAGAAAATAGTGAAGAGAAATTCTTAAAGGAAATACTTATTTTTTAAAGGAAATATAAGTTCTATAAAATACTCCCTACAAAGATGTAGAAAATATATAATTTTATTACTAGTTATAATTTAAGGCTAAAAATGACCATGTTGTCGTTTATGTGGATAAAAGACCAGCTGTTGCCATGCTTCTGCTATTTACTGTCCAACCTTTGTTGCCAAAAGCAGCGAGATAAGCTAGCACTAAATTTAAGATTTACCAACAATAATACAATTTTAAATTTAATACAACTTTATTTACATACTTTTGTATGAAAACATATATATTTATACAACAAAAATCCGAAAAATACAAAATATAATTGCTGAACATACAAATGTACGCCCTGCGGTTAATTGCTTTAAAAATTTATTAGAAGAAAATGCCTGCAGGTTCTTGTTGTTGTTGATGTTCCATTACACGCATTTCGCTTTTTATCCAGCCCCAATTGCCTGGGGACATTTGCTCGAGATTTTTAACTGTCAATTTAATTTGCCATTGTCACTGTCTTTTGTCAAATTCATCTTAAAATGTACAATTTATTATTTTATGCATTTTTATTGCGCTCGCGTCAAGCAACATGTTGATAACAAATGTAAACATGACTTAGGCGCTCTCTCTCTCTCACACTCTCTAACACACAAACACACGTATTCACGGCGCTTCATACAGTCTGAAGAAAAAGTTCGTATACATTTACCATGAATCTTACAGCATGTGAGAAATAAAAACAAATTAAACTCAAGACATTTGAAATATATATTTAAATACATTTTATTCTCATTGCTTTCAGTTGCTTTGCCTGCTCTCACTTAAATTGTACACAAATTACACAGACAGATTTGTTAGAATAGAGTACAGAGTATAGCATTTAAATGTTTTCAGCTTTTAAAATTATCAAATGCATTAAACGGTTTCTTTTTACATCTAGAGTACATACATATGTTATATATTAAAGATGCACCTGCGGTGGAATACATCTTTGGATATTGTTCTCATGTTTTACTTGAATGCTGCTTATATATATTTATCCAATCGAGGTTATATTTCCATTACGTTAACGCTTTTAATACAAGGCAAATGCACAAAACTTTCATAAAGTTTATCTTCTATATATCTTTCATCTTTAGAACATTTTGAAAATTTATGTTATACATATCCAATGGCATTTGAAACTGACTGATTTTGGTGGCACAAATGACTGACTGACTGATTGACTGACTGACTGACTGTTCGACAACTGACTGTTAATATATACCAACAAAGGCGTGACTTGCTTATTGTTAACACACAATCCATTTATATATAGTATCAAAAATACTTTGTATGACTTCATTTACAAATTTTAAAAAATATTTAGATAATACCTTTAACAAAAATACTTGACAAATAGGAATTTCGCTTTTCATTTTTTGACAAATTCACAAAAATAGTTTATATTAATTTGGAACCACAAATTAGGTTATTTGTATGCATATATGTGTGGATTTGTATTTGTGTGTGTGATTTAGTGTCTGTGCGAAGTTGTTTTTCTGTGTGTGATGTGCCTTATGCCCAGTCCTTCTTGATCTCAAAGGTCCAATCCCATTTCAGATGTATGTGCTTGTCATCATCCGTGAATACCGATGAAACAGAGTAGGTGCCCCTCGACACCATGCCCGAGGGCGCCTCCTCAGCTGGCGTCAAATAGAATTGAATTTCCTTCTTGGGGGGATACGAGCCAACCATATGGGTCATTTTATCCACTGCGATAAAGCATTAAACAAATATAATTATAAATAATAATGTATATTCATAAAAATCAACAAAGCAGGCTTACCAACAACTTAAAGCAATAAAAATTAATTATCCAGTATGTGTTAGGCATTAAAGTTATAAAGATATTTTGTTAATATTGTCTCAGCACATTATTAAAGTAAATATAGCAAATGTTATTAGTACAATATAAACCACACTAAATATGCCGCAGAGCAAAGCTGTGCCATCGAAACTGCTGCCCATGTTTATTATGAAATAGAAATGTGTTTTGCCTGAAGGTATAAAACATACTAACTACCCAGTTAGCTAGGGCACGACAAACCCAGTCGGCCATGACAATCTAAAGCCCTAAAAGTGCGGTAGAACCGAACGACATTGGTCAAATGTTACACAAGCCTGATTAAACATATTCTTAGCCAATTTTAGTTTCATGTATATACATGTTTACTATAAATAAAAAATATCAGTTTATCGAGATTCACAGTTTCTGATTTCTTATGAACGTATCGGTAACAAGCAATTGTTATGTTGCTCATTTGGCGAACGATATGCTTACCTGGCACTCCCATTCGATAGGTCTTTTGCACATACTTAAGGCCATGAACAATTTCGCGTTGCACAATAAAATCGATGCGCACCTTGTATTGAACACCTTCCTTAATCACAAAGATCTACGGAGAAAGTCCAACAATGAGTTAACTCTACATATGGTGGCATTCTACAAACACTCACCTGCTTTTTTAGGTGACTAATATCTCCACTCAAATCTAATTCCATATCATCGCGTCCTTCAACGACAAGCGCCAGTTTCTTAACAATCACCTTACGGGGATCATTAGGATCTTTTTAAATAAATGAAGAAACGCACAGTTTTCTTAATATTCTGTTATCAATATTTATGTGCCTCTATATTTACCAACGATTATAGTTTCGGTTTGAGCTGCACCCAGCAAAGCCTCCTTATAGCGACGCAAACTTTCATCTTCCTGATCGGCAGCCATTATCTCCTCGATTGTCTTCTCGGGTGGAGCCTGATAGTTGGCATCATGCACATCCTCATCATGTGGGTCGACATGTTGGTGCGTCTCTGTTTCAGCCATGGCAATCTAACTGAAAATATTCATATTGTATTTAAAAAAATTATAAGTTTTATAACCATTTTAATCAATAGCAATAATATGTATATTCGGAGTATATGTGTTGCGATTGTTAAGATATGGTGTACTCTTATAAAGCTTATTTACTGTTGCCCATCGCATCACTTAGCTGTCTAAACACTATTTGTATATATGTATGTATACTCCAAATGCGCAAAAGTTTGTATAATTTCTAGACGCTCAATAATATTGATTAAAATCGAATTATTAACGCATAAGTGAACGGCGCTTAGCCACAGAAAGAAAGCTTGCCAACCCATGGATGCAGCTGAGCTTGTATGCAAACATAAATACATACACATATACGAAGCATATACACATACATAAATATATACATATATAGACTTGGCCGAATACGGGCCCGCATGGGCAGATAAGGCAAAAAACAAAAATATATATATACACAGCAATAGAGCGAAAAGGCATGAGAGGGCGCTCGACCGGCATTGAACAATATTGACCAGAATGGGCTGGCTGCTATCGCCCCCCACACGCATACACAGAGTCACACACATACATATATAAACTCACACACACATTTAACATTTCGTTTTTTATCTGGTTTTTGTTGTTATTGTTGTTATTGTACTCATTGTTGTTCATTATCTAAATACACGTTGCTTAGCTTTATTTCCATTTCCTTTTCTGTAAAACATTTAGTTTGTTCGATTTCAATTACAATTTACTTAAATGGTTTTTCTATATACATATATGCATAATCTACTAATTTAAATATAGTTGTTGACTTATTGTGGGCATAATAATAATAATAATTGGTATTCTGACGCATGGTCAGCGACAAACGAGATAATAAAGTTGTATTTTTATACAGTTTTGTATATTTTACTTTCAAACTTTAGTACTTATACTGAAAAAAAAAAAAAAAAAAAAAAAAAAAAACGAATTCTAAGAAAAAACGTTTTTTGGCAACACAAATTCCAGTTTGCCATTGTGTTTGAATTGGAATTACGACACGAAAATTAATTAAGTGTGAATGCAAAATAAGCAGGCCAAAGGCAAAGCGAAATAAGAGCACTCAGAAACAAGCAAACCACACGATCAAAAGAAACAAATTTCAAACACACACAAATCCAGACAAGCAATTGATCGAAGACCAATGGAGAAAAAAATAGCTTAGAAGACCCCCCGTCAAAACTGTGAGCAATTCTGACCAAGGAAATTGTATTCAAGGAAAGTAACGCAGCGATGACGCTGCTGCTGCTTAGACAGCCTGATAAAATAATGCACGGCACGCAGCGGCAGAGACCCAGACGCATGAATCACAGACACTAACACAAACGCATACATCCGCACCCACACGCATTGGCCGCATAGGCCGGTGTTCTCCGATTATTGGCCAGCAAAATATTTTCGGGAGTGGCATATCTATGGCTAGAGATAAGCGATTGTTTCAAAAGAATTTGTTAACTCAATATTGTTATTTTGCGTGCACGCACACATGTAAGCACATGTATAAGTTGTAAATAACAACTCACCTCTCTATTCTTCGAATACAGGTTTTAAAATTTGAATACGCGAATTTTTTTCCACAATATATTTATAATACAAATAATTTTTATACTTTGATATAAACAAGAAAAACAACAAAAAACGCGCAGCAAAAGGTGCAAGCTGTGACAATCTGATAGAGATGAGTGAGGACCTTCTTTACTCGATACTTTACAGAAAATACAAACTTATCGACTTATCGAGTCGTACATTTGAGTAACTAATAAATAACAATTTTCTTATATTATTATTGTAAATATTAAGTAAATTTCAGTTTAATCAATATAAATCTGGTCTAAAATAATGTTCAGATACTAATAGAAAGATTGTAAAGAAATTGTAACCAATTTTTAAACTAGCAAGTACTTTAGTGCTCTGTTCTGAAAGTAGTCGTGAATGTAACTATCAAAAGCAGAAACAGCTGTAGAGATTACTTCATCGCCGCATTAAAGTCTTAACAATAATCAACAAAAAATGCAAACTTCCCAATACTTAAATCAACTACACACCGCCGACAAATTGTCCGAAGAGCCATGGCCAGAAGATGCGACGCTCTATCAGGTAAAATGAGAACAGCAAAATAATATTAAATATTTATATGGTTTTCTATTCCCGCCAGCCCTTCGAAGCGGAACAGATTTTATTACCAGAGAGCGCTAGTTGCTTAGCTGTGAAAGCATATTTAAAAATGTGCAATTTGCCGTTTGGTATACGCACTTGTGCAAATGCGGAGCACATGTCACCCGGCGGTCGAATGACCAAGCTACCATTCATCCGCGCGGGTGCATTTTTATTTGCGGAGTTTGAGCCAATTGTGAATTTTGTGGAGCAGAAAGACATGGCCATAGGAAGCTGGCAGGATGAGGATGAAAAGGCAGATATGCGTACATATGTCTCGCTTGTAGAGAACATCTTCACTATGGCGGAGCTGTATGTAAGCTTTAAAAACGAACGAGTCTACAAAGAGGTCACGGCACCACGAAATGGAGCCGTTTATCCGTGGCCATTGAATGTCATTCAAAATTATAGCAAACGTCGCAATGCACTGCGTCAATTGAAGGTCTATCAGTGGCACGATCTGGATATCGATCAAGTCATTGATAAAGTGGCCAAATGTTGTGAGACACTCGAATATAAACTGAAGGAATCACCAGATACACCCTTCTTCTTTGGCGACCAGCCCTGCGAATTGGATGCCATTGCCTTTGGTCATTTGTTTACGATCTTAACAACAAGGCTGCCAAACATGGCTCTGGCGCAAACTGTACAAAAATTTGGTCATTTGGTTTCATTTTGTCGCTTCATCGATGAGAAATATTTTCAAATGAGGTGCTTGCAAGAGTAACTATGAAATGGTTCACGCTCCTATCATTTTGTATATAAACGATCTATGACAATATCATATTAATTTTTTTTAAGTTTCGCTTATTTTTAGCCCTCAATTGTACTGTTAATATTTATGTTCAGCATTTATCCACAACACTTTAAGCATTTACCATGCTTTGTACAATACAATTACCTTAATGCAGTTCGTATTTAATTTGTATCACGGCTTCGCTTCAACAAACCCCAACTTGAATAAATAATTAGAATTTGACTTAATAACTCAATTATTCTTTTACAGCAAATAAATACTTTACCTCTGGGCGCAACTAACAAATATTTTTTCAATAAAATTTAATTTAATGTTGATAATAATTGTTAAATATTTTTTACAATAAATGTTAACTAAATATGAATATGATATTAATTTGTATATTTATATCGAAGACCTACATAGTCGACTTGTTATTCTTTCATTCAAAGCTTAGTAAGATTTTGAAATCAAATGGATTGACTAAATGGTGCGTCTTTTTCCCAATTACTGACGGTAGCAGAGTCGTACGAATCTGAAATACTTCAATTTGTTCTTTCCGTTGCAGCAGCGTAAATTTAATTTAAATCGTCATAACACAATATGTCCATTTCGGAACGGGAGCCCACATTGATAAAACTAGCTTAGTAAGGATTCTTACAATACTTATCAATAAGGAACGCTCCATTTGGGCAGCCAAATGTAACATGAAACTAAGTAGTATTAACTGTGATAGCCCAATGGCCCACAATCCAGCTTTGTTCACGCAACAGAAAAGAAACGTTTGAGACTTTAATAAATAAGCAACAAATTTGGGTGCACTGTAAAAATATATATGCAACACTTTATTCAGCGTAGCTTAAATAGATTTTGTTTATTCATTTCCTAAATGGTTTGATGGTTTGCATTTCGCTTTTCTGTAAACATTTTCGAGGCTAATTTACATAATATAATTTATAAATATTGAACTCGTATGGAATTCAATAGAATTGCATACATAAATTCATTTTGCAATGTACATGGTGTTTTTTTATAATATAATCAATCATACGTAATTATTACAATTGTTTAAATGGAAATATATGCATCGTAATCGTTAAGTATCTTGCATTCAAATATATTTATAAATATGTATATATATTTGTCACTGCATTTAATATTTATTTGGTACCTCAACTGTAAAATTGATTTTTTTATTATTATTTTCCTTTTTTTTTTTTTTTTGAAATATTACTGAACACGTTACTAATGTCCAATACGCTAAACGGTACACAATTAACACAACACAATAATAATAAAAATAATTATAATAAAAAATTATTCAATTATGGGAAAGGTCGAAAACCGATTTTGTATAAAAAAAACTCTAAAAACCAAACCAGAAAATCGAACGAAACGCCATCGCCTTCGATTGCCTCCTATTCGACCTCTTTCTGATGCAGTTGGTTTCTCAGTTGCAGCAACAGCAGCAGCGCCGCTTGCGTCAGCGCCTTTCGTACTTGGTCACTGGCACAGACAGACGCGTGCGCAGTCCATGGGACGGTGCTGCGGTGGTGCTGCTGCCCGCGCTGCTGTTCGACCTGCTGCGCTCCATTGCAGAGCGACGCCGCTTGTTGTTGTTGCCGTTGCTGTTGATGCTGTTGCTATTATTTGCTGGCAGTGAAAGATTATTGCTTTTGTTGCGCGTCGATGATCCGTTACCAGTGGCGTTGCCCTCGCTGTAGCGCTGCCTTTTGCTGATCACAGCAGTATCTGTATGTGTGTGTGCGCGTAAGTGCGTGTGCGTGTGTGTGAGAGAGAGTGTGTGTAAAATAGTTGGTAATATGAATGCAAAAGTTAAATGCGATTTACGAATTACATTTTCTAGCTTAATTATCTTTAACGGGGGCAGTAGCACTCCCAGTTACACCAACATCAACATCATCAACATCATCATCAACATCACCATCAACATCACCATCATTATCATCATCATCATCATCAATATCATCATCAATATGAACAGCTGCATCATCAACATCATTAACACCATTCCCATTGCCATTCTCATTGTCATTGCCATTGTCATTGTCATTGTCAGCAGCCAATACCTGAGGTGCATCCACAGCGGCCAGTTCTTCCAACTGCTCCACATCAGCCATTTCTGCTGTTTGCCAAAGCACATTGTAAAACAAATGTAAATCCGAAACAAACAAAAGATAGAAAACAAAGAGAAAGAGAGAAAAAAACATTGGGCAATTTGCCATGATAATAATAAATTTTGATTCAAATTTTGAATAAGTTTTTTGTTTTTTGTTTTTTTTTTTCTGGTTTGCTGGTCATTGGCGTTATCAATGAGAACTTCCCATGGATATGACGATGACGTTGGCGGAGTGATCCTTAAGATGTTAGTGTAAGAGCATGTATGCATATAAATGAATTAGGCATATGGTAAGAAAATACATACAATTTGCCGTAGCAATAATAAATTAAAATACAGTTATTTATAGGCTCTTACTGTCTTTAGTAAAGAACAGAATAAAAAAAAAAGAATACAAAAATATAAAAATACATAAGTGAAGAAGAAAAGTGTGGTAAAAGAAAATACAACGTAAAACATTTTGGAATTTGGGGTAATATAAGAGTTGTTCAAGGCACTCAATGGCCTACGCTGAAACTATGAGTATGATGAAGCAGAATGATTTGATTATGATGAATAATGAATGTTAGGTGATTGAGATATGTTAGGGCCTCGATGGGCCGACACTTACCTTTAGGGGGCAGTTTGCGTTTGGCTAAAGAATTGGCAGTTCTGCTGTCGGACGCACTTAATCGTCCGCCGTTGGCGTTGCGCTTGAGGCCCGGATCAGAACGTCGTTCGCGAGTAGTAGCCAAATTGGCAGTGATTGGTTGATCGGCACTCTTTTTGGCCACATTCTTGCTGCTGTTGCCGCCATTGGTCGACGAACTATCCTGGTCAAGCGCTGCTGCAGCTGCGGCGGCTGCAGCATTGGCTCGCTTAAGATTGGCCGGCATGCGTTTGGGTGGCTGCATGGCGCTGGCAGCGTTGCCCGATGAGGTAGTTGCTATATCATTGCTGGAGCTCGTCGCTGGTTTCTGTGGCGATCTTTGCTTCAGATCGTCCTGCTTCTTGTGCATGCCCACATCCAACCAGTATTTAAGTTGCGCCTCACGCTGTCGCTGCATCAGCTCCTGGCCGGCAGCATATTTGCTAAGCATCCCCTGTAGCTTTTGCACAGTCTTGTAAACTGTCTCTGCCGCAATCAGGCCGTAATCGAACAGCGAGCACATGTGCAGTATAAAATTGCGATAGAGATTCTTACGTACAATCTCATGACCTTTGGCATCCAGGAACATTTCGCAGGCCAATGGCAGCTGGCAGTCGCCTACAAAGCCATGGCGCATCACATGCAGATTCCAAAGCTTCATTAGCTCCTTTTCGCCTTCGTTGACATCGGAGAACTCATCAATCATTTGTATGGTCTTTTGGCGCAGCCAAAGTGGATCGCTCTCGCCTTCCGAATCAATGTCCAGCTCTTTAGGATGCACTGGCAGGCAGGTCTCCGTATGATGATACAACCTATGGTAATTATATATCAATTTTCATTATAATTATCATTGTAATGTTTATTTCTCACCTATTGTGCCCGGTTATGTAAGAACGCTGATTGCTAATGTCATCCTCATCTAACTCTAGGAATTCATCGAGGCAGGTCTTCTGGCGCCTGGGCCTACATACCATCAAGCTAGTGACTGAGGTGCGTCTTACCGGACCGCAGGTGCGTGCAAACGATGAGCCCGATGGTCCGGCCAAATCATAGGGTGACCCGGCATAGGATCCATCGTAGGCATCATTGATGGTCACATCGATACGAGCACCGCTACCCGCCGGCTGATACGTGAAATTGAAGCGCGCATGGCACAACTTGAGATGCTTTAACAGCGCATACAGACGCAGACAGTCTAATCCACACCATGGACAGTTCAACTCCTGTGTATACTCCGTCTGTTGACGCGTATTGTTGCTGTACATAAAATTGTATACGATTTGTATGAGCTCCGGGACTGCTTTGCAGACACTGCCATTCTTAAGGCTGCTACAATTGTTATTGTTATTATTATTGTTGTTATTGTTATTGTTGATATTGACATGGTCCGCCTCGGTATCCAAATGCTGTACATAACGTTGTATCTCGGATGCTGCAATAATGTCGGGTAACTGCTCATTAGACAAAGTCAAATGGAATTTGAGCATAGGACTCTGCTGGTACACATCGTAGGTCAATGAAAGTGGAATGTAGCTGTCAGGCATGGTCTCCCAGGTGCATTTCTTTGGTGAGAACGATTTAATGCTCGACGAATTCAACGGCTGGAGCATTGCCTCGTATTCGCCCTCAGTGATAAAACCACTCGACTTTTCATACAATATTAACTCCGAGCCATACATCTTCTCATTGCTGCGCGATCGCTTGTTGGGCGGCGTTGCTGTGGGAAAGTATAAAAAGTAAGTAATTTATGTTTAACTAATTTTCTCCACACTATCTCACCTGTATTTTCATCATTGCACGTTTGTGGCTGCATTTTGATACGAAAGAGCAGCTTGTACAGCGTATGCTGATCGCCCATGGGTCGCATTGTTTGCAGAGGGATGCTAATGGTTGCATGCTCATTGACGCCCTCATTTGGATTGTATACTATTTGGCAGCTCTTGCTCAACAGCTCCTGAAAATCCAGTGTGCTGTCCTTGCGCTTGCTGCGCGTGATTTTATAGAGTGTTGTCTCCACACAGACCCTTTCACCCGGCTGACAGAGTAGCTGATCTTGTCCCTGCCTCACCAGATCATCGGTGTCTTGTGGCTTGAGCTTCTCGTGTAGCGAATCGTAAATTATATGCAGGTAGTTTTGGGGTACAGCCTCAGACTTTTGTGTGATTATGTCCAAAATGGAGTCGATCTTAAAATTTGCACGTTTCTTGTTATTTCGTGACATGCGCTCCTTCATATAACTAAGTGTCCGATTTAGGAATATGGGCTGCATAATGACAAACACAATAAATACCTCAATTCGTATGCAAAAGGAAATAATTAGCTTACGTTTGTTTCGTGTCGATTGCGTAGGTAGCGATAGATTTGTGTGGGTTCTGCAAAAGTTTATTGATTAGTAACACTGCATCTGAACATGCTGAGATACTTGCAAACATACTTTCAAATGCCTGTAAAAAGAGTTCCTGCTCTTGTTGATGACCATTCAGTTTCGTATGGGTTTCATTGTGGTTTGTTGTTGAATGGTTCGCTGCTGCTGTCGCTGCTGCTGCCGCTGCCGACGCTGGCGCTGCCAACGGTTCGTTTGCGGCCGCATCTGCATGTCTGCCTCCATTATTTAGACCATTGATGTTGTTTGCCACAACACCCGCATTATCGCCATTGTCCCTTTCACGTTTCTTAGTGGGTGCCATTGTTTTGAGGGGGAGGCGGAGGGTGCTACCTTTGCCTCAGTCGTTTTACAAACGCACCGCCGCTGCTCACACACGCACTAACACACTTTGCCCTGCTGCCTGCTGTAGCGTTGCTGCACTTTCAGCAAACACGAACTAACGCTGCATTTGTTTGTTAACACATTTTTATGTTTGGTTCAGTGCGTGAATTTTGTTTATTTCCCTTTTTTCCGTAATTTGTTGCGTGTTTTCGCCTTTTTCTTTTTCGGCGCGAAACCGTATGCTTTGTGCAGCGTTTCTGGTGTTATTATAGGAGCCGTGTCACGATACAATTGAATGATGTGTGCTAATAAACTTAATATTTGGCTATATTAGAGTCGGAGTCATTTTCTGATCTATTTGAAATGAACTACAATTCCTGTTAGTTTTTTAGTTATACTAGTCAAACTTTAATTAAATCAAAGTAAACAATTTATTTTTAAGAATTTAGAAATCGTACCGTGCATGTGGCCTTACTGCAAAAACACACCCCCGCGGTGTTTTACAACATTGTATTTGTCTAAGTCTTAAATCAGAAATTATTTGATTAGTTATTTTTAAGAGATCCTTATAATGGTTCCAATTCTTAAAATACGGCTAATATATTGAGATTTATAAAACAAAAGAATTTCTGTTTGTAATGCTTTGAAAAATATATATAACATTGAATACATTGTCAGCTGTTTTCCAGTGTTGTATTTCGATGAATAGCAGTCTCACATATTAACATAAAAGCGTGCGCTGTTGGTTGCAGCTTTGAGTAGCCTTTACAAAATCGTCATAATTTTTAAAATAAATAGGTAAATATTGATATGTAATACATTTGCGATTGTCTAAGTGTTTAAGGAAAATATATAAAATATGCACAGTAACTAATAACACTCAGTAATAACTTAACGTCAAGTTGCAAGCAGACACACACACATATACAATTTTGAACAATGCCTTTGCCTAATTTTGTTTAACAAATTATTTTAGAGGCCCCAACCGGCAACTGTTTAAAATTTTGAAGAATTCTCTTAACAGCTAAGCATTTATCGTACAAAAATGGATAAAAATAGCACAGCCTTGTATAAAAAAATGCAAGCCGAAGTTGAGTCATATCAAAACCTGCAAAAATGTAAGCAAATTATAAATATTGTATACAATTTGTGCCTCTCATATGTACATTTTTCGTTTACAGCTTGTGTTAAGGTCGTAAAGCAGCGAGCACTTCTTGAGAGTCAGCTGAATGAAAATAAGTGTGTGCTAGAGGAATTAAATTTGCTTGGTCCCGAAAACAAAGTTTTTAAGCTGTTTGGCCCTGTTCTGGTGAAACAGGATCTGGAGGACTCTCGGCAAAACGTTGCTAAGCGTATTGAATACATCTCTAAGGAATTAAAAAGTTCCACGGACACACTGGAAAACATGTATGTTAACTGATTTCCCTCACTATTGAAGTATATTAATTGTTTTTCTTTTGCAGGGAAAAGGATATGCTGAAACATCGGGAGGCTGTCTCTAAATACCAGCAGCAATGGCAAGTCGCGGCAGCCATGAAATAATAGGAACTGCTTTATTTATTATTTATTACATTTTGTCACTTTAAATAGACATACGCATTGAAAATCAAATAAAACCAGTTGAATACAATTATTGGTGTATTAGTAAGTGTTTCTAATCCATGTTCTATTATTCTTATTTTCCATTTGTTCCTCTGTTAATGTCATTACGATAAAATCGAATCTCGATAACATTTATAACATCAGTCTCTTGCATCCCTGGTTGGTGTGCGAGCGAGATGCATTAATCGAGAGCATTTAAAACACTGAAAATTGTACCACAAAAATTGCCACGAAGAACAGAACTCTCTTTAGTGCCGCATCAAAATTAAACAATTGAAGCTGTTTTGTCAGCAAATTAAGTCTTTAACATATTTGTTGCGAAAAGCGATAAAACAATGGGATCAAGTCACAGCGTTCACGTACCCGGCGGCGGCACCGAAGGTAAATTACCACGTAAACTGTGTCAATTGCTCTACAAGAATTGACAACCAATCATATGCATACACGCACACACTGACGTAAACGAAAAATAAACACAATTTCTGCATTTTCAAACACAACAATAGGTTACCACGTACTCAAGGTGCAAGACAACTCACCCGGCCAAAAGGCTGGCTTGGAGGCGTTCTTTGACTTTATTGTAGCCATAGCAGGCACTCGTCTGGACCAGGACAACGATATGCTAAAGGAGCTGTTGCGTCAGAATGTGGACAAGCCTGTTCGCATCACTGTCTATTCGAGCAAAACACAAACCGTTCGCGAGCTGACATTGACGCCTAGCAACAACTGGGGTGGCCAAGGACTGTTGGGCGTTAGCATACGTTTCTGCTCCTTCGAGGGTGCCAACGAGAGTGTGTGGCACATTCTGGAGGTGCATCCCAACTCACCGGCCGAACTGGCAGGTCTTCGTGCCTACAGCGATTATGTGATCGGCGCTGATGCCATTCGCCATGAGAACGACGATCTTTTCACACTGATCGAGACGCACGAACAGCAGCCGCTCAAAATGTACGTCTACAACCTGGACGATGATGCTTGTAGAGAGGTTACCATCAAGCCGAACACGGCTTGGGGCGGCGAAGGAGCTCTTGGTTGTGGCATCGGCTATGGCTACCTGCATCGCATACCTGTGCAGCCTGCACCTGCCCCGGCTCCTTCAACGGCACCTGCTGCCGCAGCTACACCCAGTGGCCAATCGAATCCTGTTACGCCGCCTGTGGTAGCTACCAATAGTGCTGTTGTCGCACCAACGTTGCCTTATATACCGCCGCTGGCAAACACATTTGGCTCGACCAACGCTGAGATTCGGCCACCAACTGTTGAGCCACCGGCACAGAGCATATTCAAGACCTATTTCAATCCGGATGATGCATCGGATGCACTAAGCGCAGCACTTGAGAACCAGGCTACAATTGCTGAGCCCCAGGTAGCCGCCCCTGCCGGCAACATAGCACCGCCTACAGTTCCAGCTCCAGCTCCAGTTGCTGCTGCTGCTGCTGCTGCTGAGGCTCCAGCAATACCACAACCAGTTGCACCACCAGCGAACATCTATATACCCGGCGTCTTCGATCCCAATGTCCCACAACAGAGTACGAATGTGAGTGTTGGCGGCATACCGGCCGCCCAATTGCCATTCCCACAAGCAACTGCAGCTACGTTGCCACCACCAGCCGTGCCCATGTTCTCGGTGGCCGGATTGCCGCAGCAACAGCAGCAGCAGCAGATCTACATGACTGCACCGGCAGCTCTATCGTATCCAGCTGCTGGGGCCGCTGCCCAGACCGTGCCCACTTATCCTCAAGTGCAGCCATCCATGGGCGGTCTGTTTCCTACTCAGCCAACACCGCTGCCGCCGCAGATGGCGCATGCATTTGCGCAGCCGCAGCCACAGCCGGCGCCAGCAGCAGCAGCCAGCCCTGAACAAACACAGCTAGGAGCACCACCACAAGCAGCAGTAGCCGCACCACCACCTGCGATGTCAAGTGCTTAGGTTCCACTCACCAGATACTTGCGTTAACCACTTTGAACTTCTGTACGTTGTTGGCGACTGCATAAATTGTCGTTAAGTTTAATAATGTGATTTGTTTTTATGATTCTAATTGCGATGAACCGAAATCACAAGTGACAGCTGTCAAACATTTCAGTGCAAAATGCATAAATATAAAGCGATACATTTACATTTACATTTATTATTAAAAGAAATATATATATATACATTAATATGCATATGTATACACGCTATATATGTGTATATATGCAAAGTACTGTAACATATGCATAAATTTTGTATGTGGAGAGAAATGCGCAATGCGAGCTACATCAAGGATTAGTAAACAATTTTATTACTTGTGCAATGTTTAATGATGTCTTTTAATTCTCTATAAGATATATGCTTTATACTAGATTTACTTTACCCATTATGTATAGCCCACTGGGCCAATCATCATCTCTTTTTCAGCTGTGGGACTAGAGGATTTGATGAATTTGTTATACCTAGGTTTCTCATATGACTATTAAACTTTGCATTTCAAGATTAAAAGCATAACAAATGTGGATTTTTATTTATATAATCGTCTAATTAAGATATTACTGTTTTGAAGGTCAAATATTTGATGTCCCCCTACGTCCTTCTTGACAATTATTTTATAGGGGTGACGGTTACGGTCTAATGTCTTTAGACTTGACAGATTTAACAGCTCTTACCTTCTTAGCTTCGAATTTGAGTTTGAATTCAAATCACTTGTTGCTGTATTCGCGATCAGTTCTCAAGCGAAATGAAGTTCGGTCTATTGATTGCAATAGTTGGCTTGTCTTTGGCAGCTGCAGATTATCCATCAAATGTAAGTGCTAATATAAAAAGGAAAGGATTAATTTGAATAATCACATGAATATTATACAGAATCCAATAGAGCTTATTACACAGTTGGTGCAACTGGAAAATGAGAATCAAAGACTTCAGCAGCTTATAGCCCACTTGGTAGAGCAAGTAGCTGACTTTCGCTACAAGAATCAACTAGTTGTACAACTAAAGATGGTGCAGGAAATACTTAAGAATAAGTGCAATTCAGTCGTTGGTGGTGGTGGTGGTGGGGGATGTAGTAGTAATGAATGTGTCGGTGGTGGTGGTGGTGCAGTAGCGAACCTTGGATACTTCCAGAATTTATTGAATGATGTGAGGCAAGCGAAGCTCAACATTCAAGCTCTAACTAACAATGCACATACGTTGCAATATACGCTGCTAAACTTCTGGAATCAATTGAGAAACAAGTGCTATGGTTCATTTGGATATCCACAAATTAGTGGATTAAGCAGATCAGAAGAAGCCCAAACTACAGAATCATAAACGTTTCTTTGTGGACTAAAATGTACACTGCAAGCTACATCGATTAATTAACAATTTTATTCCTTGAGCAATATTTAATTGTTGTTTTATTCTCCGTAAGATTTCCTTTCTATATTATATAGCCCATTGACCCAACATCGTATAAATTTGGATTTCCCATACCTCTTCTTATGGCACGATTCTAAATATATCCTAGCAATATTTTATAAGTCTAATGGTTATGGTCAGATGTCATATATTCAAATATTCCCTTTGGTCTATTAATTGCAATAGTTGGATTGCGACTAAATTTTACGGCACTTATATAAAAAATCATCTAATTGAAGATATAAAGGATTGCATTGAATTCATCCAGCAATTAGGGAGACGTAACTGAAGTCATTCAAGGTGCAAGGAACAATCTACAATCGACTCAAAACAAATTGATGGAATTGGGGGAACTAGTAACTGCCCAACACGTCCAATTAGCATGGATTCATGGCTCACGGCTGGCAGGTTATGCAGCGAGAACTTCTGTAAAAGTTGGGACGAGTACCTCAGGGACTTCGGTACGGCAGCTCAGGCCTTTTGTATTGAGTGTGACGGAAATATGGATTTGTTATGCCAAAAAATTATTGTATATAACAAATGATTCTACAACATTCTAAAAACGCTTAACAAATTCGATTCTCTTCCGTTGATTTGGTCCGATCTGGCAATGATATGCTATGCATTAGAGCTGCCGACAAGGCATACATACATACATATATCATATTTATATATCAGTATAAGATATTGCACTTAATAAACTGTAAATGGATATACAAAAAAAAATGGAACAATATTTATATTAAGTTTTTATTTATTTTATGCCATTTTGCGTTAATTGCCAATAAAAAAGACGACAATTTTTAAGGGAGTTAGGTTTAATTTTGGGCTTTTCGTAAATGGGCGATAGTTGTTGACATTATTAATAGACGTGAAACTACTTGACGAAATTAGGATTCTTCTTCAATATGACAAAGCCTTCCATGACGGGTGTTAGCGAAATATACTCATCGGTGGCCAGCTCGGCGCGTTCGCCAATTGCCAGCAGCACGGGCGTGGTGTGTGTTTGGAAGCCGGTTATGGTCTTTGGCTTGCCTGCCTGGCCAACCACATCGATGGCAATGCCTACACGGACCGGCACCTGCAGCTGGTTGAGCTCCTCATCGAAGGTGATCAGCATGCGTGCCTGCATTGCGGGCACCAGGGTGTACAACAGATAATGGGAACGATTGAGGATCAGATTCTTGACGTCAAGAAGCGATACCAACGTGGCCATCAAGCCAGCAACGGCCATGGGATTCATTAACTGGCGATCGCTGTGATACGGGCTGAGGGAGAGTGTGCCTTTGCCCAAATGCGTCAGACTCTGGGCAATGCGCACCATGAACAAATTGCTCGGATCCTTTGAGTGGTATTGGGCCAGCTGACGGAGCATCGAGGCTAGACGAGCATTATTTGTGCCAGCACCCACCAGTCCCATGGCAAAGATGGCATTGTGTGCCACCTCTGCGTCGCTGTCGTGGGAGAACTTGCTCAACGTATCAAGAATGTTCAGCTTCGGATTGGAGGCAGATATCAGACCCAGAGCCAGGGGCACGGCACGCCGAATAGAGGGCTCGCAGTAGCGCAGCAGATTGCCAAACGAACGATACGCCATCTCGGCCCCAATGTCCTCGCCCATGGCAATAAGAGCAATGCCCAGCACGGCGATCGATTGTGTAGCGGACAGGTCCTTCTCGCGCTCCTTTTCCTTTTCCTTCTCTTTCTCCTTTTCCTTCTCCTTATCCTTTTCCTTCTCCTGCAATCGAAACATTATTAGCTATAGCAAACTGAGCTAAATTTTATATTTAATTACCTTCTCCTTGCTTTTGTCCTTCTTGCTCTTCTCTTTCTCTTCATCGGCGCTGGTGGACTCGTAATGGTCAGAGCAGATGTGAAGTAGCTGTTGAATTTTGAGCACGTTGCCAGTGCCAGCATAAGCACAGATGTCGACCATAGTGGTGGCCATGCTGCGGTACGGCTCCTCCAACACCTCCAGTGTCATCATGACGGCCTCTGTGGATTTCTGGCGTCCCAAATAGAGGAGACCCAAGCCCAGCCAAAGGAAACGCGTATAGGTATCCTTCAGATCCGCCTTGGTCAGACCCATGATGGTCTGCAGCAAGATCTCGGTAATCTCAGCATTGCACGAGCCAACGCTTATCAATCCCAGCGATAGAGCAGTTATGCCCAGAATCTCAACACTGGCGGTTGTCTTGCCATTGCTGGCAAATATCGTCTTCAGCGTATCGATGACAATGGCCCGGTTTGAGCCGGCATAGGCAATGCCCAAGCCCAAAATAGCGCCAATGCGCATGCACGTATTCGGATTATCAATATAATCGGAGAGCAATGCGTGTGCCGGATCCACTTCGTTGCGTATTCCGCAGTTGACAATGCCGCAGGCTAGCAAAGCACCTGACTTGATGTTGTCGTCGGTGGAGTAGAGATATTTATCAATCATGGTCAAGCCACCATCCACATCCCAAAGCAGAATCAGACCCAGGGAGGCTGTGGCCGATAGCATACCATGCTCCTTATTCTTGTACAACCACTTATTTCCATCCTCCGAGAGCAATTTGTCCACACCGAATCCCGCATTGACAAAACCATTGACAAAGCTCGCAGCCAAATTCTGCTTAGCCGAATCCACCTGAATGGATGCAAAGCGCGAGCGAGAGTTATCCAAATGCGATTTGTAGATATCTTCGGGCGTCTTGGGCTCCATAATGTCCAGCTCACGGGCCAAGTTCAAGAAATGCTTATTCAAATTTGCATTCGACATGATTTCCATTAAATCATCATAGTCCGGCAGGGACTCATCCAGCTCCAGGCACACCTGCTGGCGTGCGAGCATAAAGGCCAGTTGTTTCTGCATTGCTGGCTCCTTGGGCTCCTTAAATATTTCGCTAATCTTGTCCATATCGTTTAGCATAAGGGCCAGCCTCATGGCCTGCGTGTGCTGGTGAAACTTCCGGGCCAGCTGCAAAGCGGTCTCTAGAATGATTGTGTTGTCTGGCTCGGGCACGTAAGGGTAGCAGGACTGCAGATACAGGCAAACACGAGGATAGGCGGACTCATCCACATATTCGGCCAGCAAATGCAAATGATCAATCTCGATGAGCAAATCGCAGGCATCGGCCTCTGCATTATGCTCCATATCGTATGGAATTATCTGCTTAACCAACTGGATAAGCTGAGTGCGGAACTCACCGGTCGTATCGTGATAGTGTGCCGATATTTCGCCAGACAAATGGCGCACATATTCGTGACCCCAGTCACCAATGGCCTGGGTGCGATCGCACAGGAAACGATAGGCCAGACAATCCTTGCCGCTGCCCATGGTCATGGAGAGCACTGAGATGATGTCAGCGCACAGCTGGCGCGAGCGTTCATCGGGCATATGCTTGTACACCTTCTTCATGGTCTCATAGTGCGGACGCATGAACTTCAGAGGCTTGGGCACCGATGTCATCGAAGTCGTTGAAGCGCGGATCAGCTTGGCCATCATTTCGAGCGCTGGTTGATACATTTGCTTGTCTTTTTCCTGCAAACGCAACACCAACATCTCCAACTCTTCCTTCAGTTGTTGGTCCTCATCGGACAGCTCAGGCTGCTGATCTTTTTCATCCTTCTTGGACTTGCCAGCTTCATTTCCCTTGCCTTTAAGTTCCTTGGCATCGCCAACAGGCTTTTTCTCCAGCTTGGTTTCACCAGTCATGCTGTGTGAGCCCTTTCTTTAATTTTACAAATATAAAAATGTATTTTGTTAATATCTCGGCGTTCACTTTTCTCCGCTTATTCTCTTTTTCTTTTCTTTACTACTCAGCAGAATTACAAAGCGCTTTTTGAGCTGTCAAAAGCATGAATTGCCAACTATTTTATATTAGTGATGTGTAGGAATCGAAATATCATTGTTTGACAGCCGCAATATTTATCGATTCTTTCGATTTATTGCCACGCTTAAATGCATTTTACAGCACTGACTTCACTTTTGAAACACATGTTTTGATTTACTTTTGCGGCATTTGTGGAAAAAATGTTGCGAATTACACAAACTAAAAACACGCTCCTCGATGGCGCTACTATAGCAGATCAATTATATGCGACACCTAAGGATTGTGAAGATTTCTTTGAAAGCATTGAAAAACCCACTCAAGTTGTTCCTGTTCCACGGTCAACCTGTGAGTATCCCACCCAGGCTGCAGCTTTTCTGTTTTATTTATCAGCTTATCCCGTTTACAGTTATACGCGCTGGCGTTCTAACAACAGTTCGCGGCTCTGCGTACATGGAATATGGCAATACTAAACTGATGGCAATTGTAGCGCCGCCGCGCGAATTGGTTCGTTCAAGTGCTCACCGTGTAAGCATGGGCGTCATCAATTGCTACGTGAATTTTGCAGCCTTTGCCACTGGCGACCTAGAATCAGTACCAGAGCGTGAGAAACATTTGGGCAGCATGCTAACAAAGGCACTGGAGCCACTTGTCTGTCGCAATGAGTTTCTCAATTTCCAGCTGGACATTCGAGTGCTTATATTGGACGACGACGGCTGCCTGCTGAGCACCGCCATCAATTGCTGTGGCGTTGCTCTCATTGAGTGCGGCATATCCACATACGATTTGATTACGGCATCCACGGCATGCATCTATCGTGGCTATGTGTTTATCAATCCCACCGCCAAGGTTGAGGAACTGCTCTGGCAACATCGAGGTGGCAATGCTTTGCTTGGGAGCAGCAGCGCGAACAGCGACAAAGATAATGATATACAGGAGCATGGCTTGCTTATCAATGCCAGCATGGACAGCTTTGAGCAGCTGGCGCAGTGCCAGCAGTGCGGCTACCTTAAGCCCGAAACCTACGTACGACTGCTCGACTACACGCTGGAGATCAACAAATCGCTGAGACATCTGATTCGACGCGTGCTCAGCGACCGAGTCAAGGAACAGCACCTACTGGACATGCGGGAACAGGAGGAGGAGCGCCTGGAGGATAAGCGTCTCGCGGCAATTATTGAAAGGCTGAAGCAACAGGGTCTCCATGAGTTCATACAATCCAATATTAAGGAAGACCAGTATACAAAGAAATAAATGATGCGTCTAGTTTTGTACATAAAACTGAATGTTTATAATTTTAAACTTATCACCTAAACTTGTAACAAATTTTGTGGCCTAAACAGCTGCGTTGTAATATTGTTCACAAGCACATCAGCACTACTGCTGATCTGTGGAGGCCTCCAGCACGGCGCCGGAGTAGGCCAAATCCCAGTAGTGTTCAACCTGATGTTTTTGAAAGAATTCGCGAGCCATTTTCTCCATGGGAAAGATTTTGAATTTGATTTCGCCGAAATGGCGGCGCTGACTTGTACCTTCCCAGACGAGCACACATGAGTTGGGAACATCCTGGCCATCATTGCCATTTACCATGTCCTCCTCCCACTTAATGCGATGCAACATAAGCCGGCGGTATTTCTTCTGCTGCTTGGGCCCACCCTCGACGACAACGACGCAGCAGTCTCGGAATAGGACGACGCTGCCGGTCATTTGCAATTGCTTGGCATTTGTTTCAACTTTGAACTTCTTGCTTTGGTTATCCTGCAGATCGCGTATACGATAGACGCTTACGTGGACGCCGCAGCTGGTGTCCTCCTTCAGCTTGCGCTGTTTCTTTTCGCTCTTCTGTTCGCTGGTCAGTTTCCGTGCGTTGTTGGCATCCTCGTGCGCCTTCTGTCGCTTGGCCATTTGCTCGCGCACATGTGCCTCGATTTTGGTCGGGTCCTGCACAGCGTCTGTGCCCAGCACACGCATCAGATTCGAAATACGCAGCTTTGGCTCTGGTGGCGCCACCAAACCCAAACGTATCTTTTCCTGCTCTTCTTTCCAGGCTTCACGTCGATTCTGTCGACGCAGCTTTTTGCGTTCCTTTTTAGTAAGAAAGACGGGCAAGTAAACAGGTTTCAAGGGCTCATCTGTGAATGGGAAGGATATTAATGATATCACCTACAAAGTTTTGGCAGAACCAAATGGCTTGATACTTTGAGAAGTTCTACTCACTTGGCGGCTTCATTTGTGTGGGATGCTCGATAAGATTACTAATGGCAGTTTTTCGAATGCTGATCTTGCCACTCGTCTCATCCACTGTCTGCAAATCCTGGGTGAGTATGACTGAGTCCCACCACTCCATAGCCGGCACATCATCGGGCATATCCTGCTTGGGAGCAATCAATGCCAGCTTGGTTGCCGATGAAATGCCCGTCTTCCGGGCTATTTGGGATATCTCGTTTTGCAGCCGTTCCAATTGGCTCTTCATGCGCATACGCTCCGCCAGCTGCTGGAATTTGCCGGGCTCATGGAAGCGCAAGGTGCGTTTATTCCGCACTATCGGTTTTTGGGCAATCCGATCATCAAAATATTTAATGGCCTCGTCCTGCCCAGCGCTGGCTGCACCGCTATGACTGCTACCTTCGCTGCCCGTGGTTTGGCGCTGGAATACTTCGCGTTTCTTAGCGCGTATATTCGCCTTGAGCGTGGGCGTCACTGTAGGTATATTAATGGCACGTCCACTCTTGTCCACTGTTCGTCCCTCCTCATCTAGGATTAGGGGCTTGGGCCGTTCCTGCTGCTGTTGCGCAGCGGCAGCAGCTGCTGCCGCCACTGCTGTTGGCTGTTGTTGGATGAGATTGGCGAGGTTTCCCGTTAGTTTTGCCCTTATTTGAGCTTGCAGTTCTGCAATCTTTTTGGCCTTTTCCGCGTCTTCAGGTGTCGGCTTCTTGGATAGCGCCTGGGTGGCCAGCGCAACTGGCATTCCTATCTGAGGCACAGACGCCAACAATGGATCCTTATCACGCAGATTGCTAAGAGCACGTTTGCGCTCCTCGATCTCGCGCTGCGCATGCGCCATCATCAGCTTGATTTGTGTGGAGCTCAGCGAGGAGGCCATCGCATCGATGGGCGGCGCTCCACCATTCTTCTCCTTGACATCGAATCGTGACTTCTTTGGCACCGCATCGACGCCGACGTCTGGGCCAGCAGCGCTGCGTTTGGTGGCTGTAGCTGAAGCTGTTTTCGATTTCTTTTCATTGGCGTCGGCGCCTTCTGCTTCCTTGCGCGTTATAATGGACGACATAATATTCGCAATTAAATTGATCTGGCTAAAGACGTTATAGTTATTTACCAAAAAACTTTGCACATTCCGCTTTATCCGCAATGCTTTTTTTTTATTTTTGGTATAGAGTGTTTATCTGTAAAAACGTTTACGTGAAAATTTCTTTGGCAAAAAGACAGGGTTGCCCCATTCTTCTTCCGACTGGCAGCAAGAGTTGCTGTGTTCACGTTTGAACTAAATTAATCGAACTATTATCAAGAACTGAACTGCACATTTTGATTTAGTAACATGGAAAATACTTTAAAAACATAAAATAACATTGTCCGCCAATTTAAAAAATAATGTCTGATTAAAAAAGGCTTTCAGCTTACTTACTGTTGCAGTTGTTGCAATTGCATATTCCGAATTCTTATCGATAACAGCTCGTAGATTTAATTTTCACCGCTATACGCCATATTTTTTGAGCGAACCAGAGTCCCCGAAGTTATCGATTGTGGTTCGTTAACTGATTTCTAAAATATTAGAGCTTGTTGTGTTTCAATAAGCCAGTCAAACCTTAATTTTATTTGGTTTCTCTTCAAATCAAAGTTGAGTTTTGTTATGATACAATTTTTACGAAAAAAAAAAGTAAACTATCGATACTCTTAAAATATCGATACTTTCCCATCTCTATAGAGAAGCGTTTCGTATATTTTTTTCTCGTCGTGTCTGTGTGTGCTTAATTATTTGTTGTGAAAATTAGGCGCTTTTATTGTGCATAAAACGGTAAAAAGTTGCATTTAACTGCAAGCATGGCATCAGAGGAAGAGAATGACGATAATTTCCAAGGTAAGTGCAATGTTTTTATCTGCTTTTTGTTATGCTGAAAATTTTTCGGCAGAACCTGAATACCAAACCGTGGTCATGTTCAAGCGAGCAGCAGGCGTCAGCGGCTGCCGACGGTGTCTCGTTGCCGCTGCCGCGCTTAATTCATTTTCTTATTATTGTTTTCATTTGCTTTTGTTGTGATTCTCTATTATCTACATTAAAGAATGATGTTTCGTTTTGTTATAACAGCATATTGTTACATATTTTTGTGAAATTTTACATATAAAGCGCGATATCTCCCATTTTTTGTCTCCGTCATTCTAGACAAATTTATTATTGCATTTTGTGTGCCGTGTTTCGCAAATGCAGCTCCGATTCGATATATAGCCATCTCGCTCGCACATAAAAAGTGTTGGCGAGCACAAAACATATGTTTTACCGTCTTGTTTTGCTCGTTCTTTCTGTTCGAAATTATGGGCGCGCAATAGGAAGAAAACGTGTTAAATAAGAAACAATATAAAAATGGCGATATATAAATATATTAGAAAATATAAGACTTGTATTTATATTAATCGGGTGATTTATATTAAATATGTTTTTGTTTTTCGTAACTAGGAATGTGTTTTATTACATGACATTGAGTCATTTTTGTCTATACCAATTGATTATTTATACACACACTTATCACTTATATTATAATATTTTCCATCCTTACTATATAATACTTAATGGTATATTGAAAAATCTTGTATTTAGTTGTAATTCTTGTTAAATAGAGCTCTGATTGAAAAACAACCGCTCGTACAATTAAATGTGACACTAAATAATACCAGCTATATGGGCACAAGTGTTTGCATTTATTTGCAAATTATTGGTAATTTTGAAGTTAAGTGCAATATAGTTAGCTCGCTCTATACCATATAATTTCATATAGGGAAGAATATATATGTGAAAAATTCGTGTGTACACACTGCACTTGCGCGATGTCGGCAACACTCGTTCACTCTCGCAGCTCACAAACGCACTCGCAACCGCAACCGACGATAACGCCGCGTGAAGTGGGCTGCTTTGGAAATTTTACGATTCATTGTTGCTTGGACGTGGCAGCCATGACGTGATTTCTGACTTTGACTAAGAAAATTTTTTGTTAAAATTACATTTGTAAATTATAGAAAATTAACTTAAGGGAATACGTGCATTATTAAGCCAGCAACAAGAGCTCAATTAAGTGTAAAATTAAAAGTGTGTGAAAACTATTGCAATTTATACAACAAAAAATATATTGTGTAAGAAAAAATGAGAGAAATAATAATACATACATATACACATACATATGCATATGCAAAATATAATTGAAATGTGTCCAATATGGAAAATATTAAATTCATATTCTGGTTTCCGCTTCTTCCCGTTATGTCGTGTTTTACTTTGTTGATTGATTTCTCCACTTTTGGGTCTCGGGCGGATCGACGTTTAATCTATCCGTTTAAATGTGACACAGCAGTTGCCACCATTTACATTTACAGTCGCCGTTCAATATCATTAACGTAGCCGTGTATTATATTTTATTTAAGTGTATACATATGTACATACATGCAAATACATATATATATTCTGTCGTCTGCTTGCTTGTGAGAGTTGATTCGCTTGTGTACGGCAAGAGCAGCAGCTCCCTCGCAGTGTGAGGAAGCTTACGTACATACATTTGTATGTACGAAAGGTATATATATGTGTATGTGTGGTTTGTATATACGTGTGTTATGCACGCGCGCGCTCCAGCAGCACTCGTCCTCGTCGTCGTTGTCGTTGCCCTGTCTCGCTCACGCTCGTGCTCAACCACCAAAAACGTCAACCAACCGCTCTCTCAACGTCGTCGTCGTCTTGTCGCCGACGAAAATCAGCCGCTGTCGATATCGCCAACACCACCGCCGCCACCGTCATTATTTACGCGATTTCAATTAATTTATAAATAATTATACTTCCAACAACAAACACATGAATAGATCGTCAGCAATATCAAGTTTTGTGCATGTATAACAATTGCAAAAAAGTGCTTCAACTTTAAAATAACAAAAAAAAAAAAAAAAGGCGAACATACAAAGTAAGCAACAGAGGGTGGTAGAAAAGAGAACGAAATTCGATGGAATGTTGACAACAACAACAGAACGACGCCGGTTCGGACAAATATAATACAAGAATAATAATTCAGAGTATTCTTTTCGCTCAGTAGCTGACGTTTTCTATTCAAATTAATTTAGAAGAAAACCAAATGCCATCAAACGCTGTTGCATTTAGATGCGAATGTGTATGTATGTATGTATGCGTATGTGTAAATATGTCCTAGAGATTGTATGTGGGCAGCAATTTTCCATATCTAAATTGGACGTGGGATGTGCGCGCACATCACTTTGTTGTTTTTGTTTAGAGTTCTATCGATTAAATGGCCACCTATCGATAGTCGGTCTATGCAAAATGTTGAAATTGATGTAGGATTACTTCTAATAACAATAACAAACAGTGCAGTCGCCGTGACGTCAGTATATATATGTATGCTTGCTCTCTTTTTTCTTATTGAGTCGTCTCGCTTATTTCACAACTCGGCATTCCAACAGCTGTCTGCGCGCATTAACCTATGATATGAAAGGGGATTTTATATCGTGCAAGGCCTAATTCACGCCAAATGTAGCAAAATTAAATACAAATTAATAAAAAAAAATAAACGACAGGTCTTTCACCAGCATCAATTTGTATGAATTTTGTGTATTTTCATTCATTATTATAATTTCTTGTTTCTCTGCTGAACTGTTGGCTTTAAATAAAAAGAAAGTGCTTCAATTCTTTTATTTTTTTATTTTTAAATTATGTGCTTACTATACGTTTTGTAAGGTTAAACTAATAGGTAAACACATTGATTTAACATTTCATAAATTACTGAAATGTCTAGGAGTAGATGAGAGAAGGACTGAAATCCGAGACAAAACATCCACGCGCCCCTTACCAAAAAAAGAGAGGGAAAGAATATTGAGTGGTGGGAGCGTCTCATAGTGAGTGCAGTCTAGTTGTTTGCCGATATTGCTTAGAATATACACTAATACACATATCAAATAGAGGGAAAGAGAACAGCGAGCTCTCTCTCTGCACACAGTAAAATGTGACTGTAAATGCAACTCCATATGCCAGGTGCCAAGTGCCAAGCGCTTTGACGCATGTAGTTGTTACTTATGTACTTTGTGCTTGCGTAGATAAGCCTTCAGTGCACTTTTTGCTAAATGTTGCTGAATTAACGGAAAAAATAAATACTAAATTAAAATATACAAAATGTTCGTTGATTTTATTTATATTCCGAGGTATTTATTGATTTAAAATCGAAAACAAAAGATCACGTTTAAGGTCAAACAGCCAAAGGTCATTTGGTTTTTGAATAACTTAAGATATCTTAAATTAATCCAAAGTGTAGGCATTTCGATATTCTTTTTGTTTCGATAACCCAGTTTCAAATGCATATCTCGATCACATTGCACCAACACGAAAGCAACTTTTTTTTTCTTACCTTCCTTTGTCGTTTGTGTGTGGAGACACTGATTTTCTATAATTTGTATTTTCGCTCGCTGTTGCTGAGGGCCTCAACACACGCATTTACACACACACAAGCTGGTGCGTGTGCATTTGTGTATGTATACACAAACAGAAAACTTGCATAAATCTGTTGAAAAAATATAAAAACTACAACAAAAATACCACCGTGGCGCCCCAACCAAAATTAAATTCAATACAAGAAGTGAAAGTATTGTATATATATATACATATATGTGTGTGTGAGTGAATCGGATCTTGCCTTGCTTTTGAGCATGCTAGAGAGCAAGTAGCAGCGTTGATAGTCATGCATTGTGATGCTGTCACGCTCGCACATATTGCATTTAATTATGCCAAAACAAGAAGCAGCCAACAACAAGTGGTATTATTTTCTGTCCATGTATTTGAGTGCTTAAAGTTGGCATTTAAACGATCAACAATGTAAAATAAAAAGATGTTAAAACAACAAGCAACCTGCTAAGTTAAGCTGAAAAATTACTAGTGGTAATTTGGTTTATTTCAAATCGTTTTATTTTGTTGGAATTTCCGTCAAATATTTTATCCACACGTCCGTGTCTAGTTCAGAGAACGGCTCTCTCAACGATGCTGTGTTGTAGGGGATATTTCTCACTTGATTTTTAGTTGTATTTAACGCGAATCTGTATAGACATGTGTGAGTGTATGTGTGTATGTAGTGTGCTTTGTGTCAGTTGCTATTGCTCTTAAATTGCTTTTGTGTTGTACAAGTACACAAAAATACAGTGAGACAGACAGACGGATATTGTTGTTGCTTGTTGTGCATGCGAATGAAATCGGCAGCGTTTGACATTGATTACCGTAATACCTTGTATATGTATGTATGTACATATATTGTGTGTCTGTGCTTTGCGGTTTTATTTTTTTTTTTATTTTTTTTTATTTGTGCAACTACGCGCTGTTGTCTTTTTCACCTATTTACTGTAATTGTGTTGTTGCTCGATCACGAGCGGAGAAGGAGAAGGCCGTATCGCTTCTCGTTATATACATATGTATATATGTGTACGTGCACACCAGCAACCATACATTTCTGTGTGAATGTATGTAAGAGTATTAAGCTACAGTAGTGCTCTTTATTTTTGTTGTTTCAGTTGATTTGTCACAAATATTTATGTATGTACATATGTACACATACATACATCCATRTGTGTAGCACATACAGGTCTCTCAACATGCTCTAATACTCAGTTTAACTAAATAACAATTGATATTTTGTAATGACATACGAGCATTCTTCATTAATTATGTATAATAGGGCACATTTAAACTATGATCGTTAATCGGAAATTCAAACAAATGTTATGTTAGATATTCATTGAAATTTGTAGATCTAGTTGAATTTTAGTGTTAATTACATTCTTGTTAATAAACAAAAATTGGGTCAAGGAACGTAATAAGTCTCCCCCTGGACCTTGTTTTAGCCTTAGCCCTCTGTAGCAGCAACAAAAAAGGTGAAAGTGAAGGTCGTTAATGCTAGCATATGGGAATACTTATGCATTGAGAGTGCAAGAGTAGAGTGCGAATATGCCAAAAACTTCAAAATGATTATATTTTTGTATATATGTATATATGGAAATACTATAAATATAATATATACTACTTATATATGTATGTGTGCCGGTGCTTCGTTCCCGTGGGCCTGTCTGCTTGACTATTTTGGTCGCCATTGTGGTTTTGTACGCTCTCACCACCTACATACCAATACTTACATACGTTTTTACGTATATTAAAAGCGTTGCTCTCCCTCACAAAGGCACACACAAACACGCCCGCATTTTTGTTACGGGGAGCTTTGTACATGTATGTTGCTGGAAACATGGTTTGTTGTTGATTTTGTTTTTAAATGGAACTTTGCTTAATTGGTTCAATAGTTTTTTAATTGGTATCATGTTCTATATAGCACAATTTTCGTATGGACTAAGACCAGCCTAGTTTATGTTTTTCAATTATTTCTCCATGTGAATAGGAAGGTGAAAATGTTACCGTTATGGGTGTGTCAAACGCCAATTGATTGTACATTATATGTACGTACACTTCATCAGTTTAAATTTCGCGATAAAATTACTTGAGCTCGATTTTCAATACAATGTACTATGTGTGCTATTTAATAATTTATTAGGACGGTATTCCAAACTGTCAGTTTGACGGGTGCTTCGAATTGTTAAGACTAATAAATGAATGTATGCATGAGTTTGTGTGTGCGCTTAAATGAAATATTGTGTCTGAGTTTTGATTATTGTAGTCCTTCGTTAACTTTGGCATAGTTTTATGTAGTCCACAATATTAAAATTTCCAGCTAAAAGCCAACAACGAGCTTACAAGAGCTGAACTGTCGTCAACGATTGTTGTTGTTACTGTTATTTTTCGTGGTGTTCGGCCCTCGTTTTTGTAGAGCCACCCGACTTGTTACATATGGCTGTTGTTGCTGTTGTTGCTGTTGTTACTGTTGCTGTTTCGCGGTTGGTCATACACCCGTAGCTGCCTATAATGTTTATATAATTTTCGTATCTTTTTTCCACTTGCATACCGTGGTTTCTTATTGGTTGTGTGCATTGTTGTTGTAAGTTGTTGTACATTGTTGGGTGGGTGGGTTAGGTTGCATTGCTTTGTTTTATTTAATTTTTCTGTGGTATAATCGCATTTTAAGTTCACTTTTTGTAGTTTTTAATTTTAATTT